GTGGCATATGTATATATATTTTCTTACCCATTTGGTTCTTCAAAAACTGAGAAAGGCTGAAACAGCTTTAATCTAATTATTAGATGGTGAAGAGATCAAAGTAGAGAGAATTTCCTCTTAACTCTCAGATGATCCACTTCTGGCCACCATTTTTCATTTACTAAAAGCAATGTTCTTCATCCCCATATCTCTGATCCAGCAACAAGACTGATTATTATTATTATTAATTTTTATTTGGATAGTTGGTAGTTTAAGGTGATGAAACATGTTATTCTTTGACATGTTAGCTACACTAATAAAGGACATGACAAATAAGTTTATTCTCTTGTAAAGCATTAACTGAGATGGTATTCTTCATCCGTTTAAGGAAGTGATAAACTTCTTCCTGCCTCTGTTGCCTGTCTATTTGCCAGCAGTCAACTTTTCCTTCATCATATATCCATACTGAGGAATAAAATAAATGTATTTCCCAGACCTCCTTTCGTAATAGAAAAGGATAGTGAGAAGATGATGGTAAATCAGCTTAACTTACAAAAGAAAGAAGACATAAAGTTCTTGTGTTTCTAAAAAGAAGAAGATGGGAAGGCAAATGTAAAGAAATTGTAATCTTTCAATCCTCTATTAGTTTCAGTATATGATTAATAAATAATAATAATTGTAGTCTTGTTGCTGGATCAGAGATATGGGGATGAAGAACATTGCTTCTAGTAAATGAAAAATGGTGGCTAGAACTGGATCATCTGTGAGCTAAGAGGAAATTCTCTCCACTGATCAAACATCTGTTAATTAGGAACAACCATAACTATAATCTCATCTTCGTTCTTTATTCCCTTCTGGTCCGCTTATAAGCTGGTAAAATGAAAAAGATTACACAGAAATGAGGATAGGTATGCAAACGTGTTCACCATCTAATAATTAGATTAAAGCTGTTTCGGCCTACTCAGCTGTTGGAGAACCAAAAGGGTAAGAATATATATACATATGCCACTTGTCCAATATTCTTAAATTAGGCTCGCCACTTACGCATTATACTCTCATAGTGGAGATTGACTCTTTACACCTAATTGAGATATATATAATTACATAAGTCTCAAAACTCTATTAGTATTTATGGTGCATTATAAAATGTCAAAAAAAGATATTGCAAATTATCATAAAAATGTCATCTGAGTGTTGAAAAATGTCATTCAATCCGAAGCTATCAGAAAGAAAAAAGATTTTTATCTGACGTGAACAAAACTAATAAAATAAATATAATAAAATTATCTGTGCTTCAATCTGATGGATGAATCAGCTACCTTAACTGACGGAAGTTAATTAAATCTTCAGAGAAATTTTCCGCCTCTTTTCTGTTTCCCCAAAGCTCAATCCCTTCTTCCACAAGCATTACTTAAAAGCCCTCCGTTTCCTGCTCTTCCTCTCTCTCTCTTTCTCCCTTTCTTCCTTCTCCTGTTCTTCCCTCTACCCTACTCACAGTCACCTCTCTTCCTTCCTCTCTCTGTTCTTATCCACTACTCAACTATGGCAAAAAAACCAGTTTTTCACAAGAAGAGGAATGAAAAGACAAAAGAGAATGTGGTCGTTGATCAACGCTGTCACATTTGTGGAGAGTATATCATTCCACTCACTGAAATGTGAAAAAGAAAAAAAGGCTCTGATTGGAGAGGAAAAAGAGAGAATGAAGAAGCAACATGAAGAGGAAGAAATGAAGTGCGAGGTAGAAAATAAGAAGAATGCCAAATCGAAGAAGACAGAGACAGACAAAGGCAGTGAAATCCAAGAAGAAGGCTGAGCGTCAGACCAAGAAGAACGAGAAGAAAGCTGCAAGATCCAAAAACAATAGAGGAAGAAAGTAATGCTGCTGGAGCTGCCGCCGGAGCCGGACCACATACTGCTGCTGGAGTGGACTGCTACCAGGCTACACTGCTGCTATCGAACTCAAAGCCATCTGCTGATCCAATCTGCTGGAGTTGTTGCCGAACTGGACTGCTGAACTCTGTCTCTGTGCTGCCACCTACTGTGCTACCGGACTATTTCACCAGCTGATCCAAAGGGTTAGAAGTTTAAATAATTTGTTTATGGTTGAATTAACATAAAGAAGGTTTGGATTTTCTAGAGTTTACTTGATTCTCTGATTTCTCATAGCCATTTCTATTATAGTGAATGTTTACGAAACTAAATGATTGAAACACACAATAAAAATTTAATTTTTTTCTCTTCCAGGTAATTTAATCTGTTCACCATTCTACCGATGAGTTTGTTGTATTTTTGGATTTTTTGTTAAATGAATTTTTAAGGCAAAATTTGGGTTAGATTTAGATCTGAAAAAACATTAGGTGTGGGCTCTGGTTTCGTTGCTGTGAAGCTTTCATTACTTTCATTACTGGCTACCTTCAGTATTTTTGAAGGCTTCATTTAATTGCTCTCAGTTTGGTACTGTTTGGTTGTTTTTGGTTTTGTTACATCACAATTCAGTTCTATATATTAAGCTGCAATCTCTTGGTTTGATATATTGGGTATCAAAAATTGGGAATTTTGAGTTGGGTTTATAATGTTTATGTAAAGATGGTGAATTTCTTGATTATATGGGTGTATTAATTGATGAGACGGGTATCCTTATTTCTTATTGAAACAGGTATAGAGGGTAAAATCTATCTGGAGATACCTGGCGGAGGCAATTGCCACCCCTAGATATACTCAATAGCACAACTCATAAATAAATAAATTATTTAAATAATATATAAAATTATATTAAAAAATAATATAAAAAATTATCTCTGAATCGTTTTTCATGGCAAATCAAGAGGCTTCAAATTCCACTGGATGCATTCGCAACACAAATTCATTTCGCTACGCGTATCGCAGTCCTGTTAGAAAATCCCTTCGAATATTTATCTAGGTTACTTACTGCCTTGTCCCCTGAGTCCCTGACATAACCTTCTTCCTTAATATTTGATTTATTCTCATCCACTACTAAGCAAATGGCATTTTATAAGTTTGATTTAGAATTCAAGTTTTAGGATTATTATTTAAAGAAATTAATTTTTTTAAATATATTAAGTTGATAGAAGAATGTGCATTTAAAATCACTTAAAAATTATTAATTTGAGATACATAAAAATTGATCAAAAAGTGAAGACAAAAAAAGAAAAAACATCCTTTGCTACCAAATCCTCGGGCTATTACCACATCCCCTAAAAGGCAATTTGTTTTCAAATTCTAATTGCAAATTATTTTTGCTCTTTAAAAATATGAATTTTTTTAATCTGTATTCTTAAGGCATGTTTAATTCATTAATTTTTAATTTATTCACGAAGTAATAATACTAAAATTAATATTAATTTATATATTTTTTTATAACCAAAAAATGTACCTTTTAACTTATGTTATAAGGATATATGTTAGAAAAATGCAAAAATTATTCACACATCATTAAGGGAATCAAAAGGAATGATTTAGTGATAATTTTTATGTATAATTTTACATATTATTTAATAAATTGAGGATAATTTCTATTTTGGTCCATTTTATCATTCAAAAAATAAAAATAAGGAAATGTTTTTATAATAGAATATATAATTAAAATTAAAAAATAAATTAAGAAAAAAAAGTCTCTTAAAATATAAATAAATGATTATTATTCTATGACAAATTCTAATTTTTCTATATATTAAAAGATTAACTATTTAGCAATATAAATGGTTGAACTTTTGATTTTAATCCCAAATTAAAATCTTTAAATTAGTGGATAGTAACTTAGTGAAACACTTCTTGGTGTGATAAATTCTAAATAATAATAAAGAAACATTGATCATTCTGTAGAAATAGGTTGTACGAACATTTGAATTGGAAGCAAAAGGGCAAAACTCTACTTGTAACCCCTCGTCTTGTTAAATTTAAATATTTTAATCCCTCACTTTATACTATAACATTTTTAACCCCTCACTTTATATTGGGACACTTTTAGCCCCTCACCTATTAAAATTAAAAAGAATAACTCTCAACTTGTAATATTTTGTTAGTTCTGTTATCTAGCTGTTAATTTTATTAGTTGACTGTTAGTTGACTGTTAGCTGTTAGTTATTAAAAACTTTTTTAAACTAACAGAGTTAACAAAATTAATTTTTTAATATTTAGCTAATTTTGTTAATTAGTTATTAATTGACTGTTAGTTGATAAAAATCTATTTTTAATTAACAAAATTAACAATCAGTCTAAACTGAGGGTTATTTTTTGTAATTTTAATAAGTAAGGGGTTAAAACCTATAAATTTAATAAAATAAAAGGTTAAAAATATCATAATATAAAATAAAAGATTAAAATTTTTAAATTTTATAAAATGAGGGACTCAAAGTGAATTTTTTGCCGAAGCAAAAATAGTGAAACGAATAATCCTAGATTTGATTTAAATGGCATGCATATAGAAAAAGTTGGACACGTAGATGGTTGCCTCTCATTATTTGGTCCAACTTACAATTTTTTTTTTAAAAAAAAGAGACAAGGAAAAGAATTTTATTGACATCAAGGGCTGTTTCATATACGGATTAAAACTGATTGTTAGTGGTTTTTATTTAATTTAATAGTTAATAATTATTATTATTATGAATCTAAATATTTTTATTTATTAAATAAAATAAAATTACTAACGTTAGTTTCAAATTATTATGGCAGACAGTTCCCAAATCTCTAAATCTCCCAATACAATGGGAACGTTTTTATTAAATTTTTTGACTTAAAAAGTAGAAAGAGTACATCGATGTACATCTACTTATCTAATTTTATTATAATGTCGACACGTATCCAGCCATGTGATATTATTATAATTGCTTTTAGTCTACTCCCTCAATTTTGATACATGGATTAATTATTTAGTATTATATAGGTTTAAATTTATAAACTTGATCTTAAATTAAATTTTTTTAATAAAAATATTAGTTATAATATCATATAAGATTATTAATTTTTAATAATAATATAATATTAAACAAATAAATATATATAATATCACATGTGATTATCTGAATAAAATAATTAATTATATCATGACATATAATAATTGTAAAGGTATTGTAATTATTATTAAAATACTAATTTGATCCCTTAACTTTTAAGAATTATATTATATTCATTCTTAAACTTTAGAAAATATCAAAAAAATATCTTGAAATTTTAATTTTTTGATACTAATTTTATTCTTTTATTAGTTTTTTATCCTTTTATTAGTTAAATAATGATGTGATAAAATTTTTCATTACTTAATTTAATTTTTTAAATTTGAAGTGTGAGACGGAAATTTGCAAGGCTGATGTGTCTATTATTTTATGGGAGGTTACAATAAATATTAATTAATTAATCTTAAATGCTTATCCCTTTTCTCTTAACTAAGAGAAATGGTGCAAATAAATATATGAATTTTATAGTTTTTTTATCGGCAAAATGATTTGCAGCCAATAGTGTTAAATTTTAAGCGAAATGATTTATTGAAACGACACCGTTTCAAGTTATAGCACTTATTTCAGATCCCAAGACATTAAATGAAACCTCGTATAATATTAAATGAATAGATATATATATTATATTATAAGTAAATTTTGAATGAAAAGAGTTAGTTATATAATAATATATCATATTATAAGTATATAATATCATTTATTGTTATAATTATGGCATTTTCATAAACCACAATTAATTTTGATTGATACTCTTTTTCCATAGCGGTTTAATGGCAAATATAATTCTTCGATATTTAAGAAATAAGCAGAAAAAATATTCAAAATCTTTTCTTATGATAAATAAAATTCAACTCTTTTGAAAACTTAGCCATTCATAATTTTTTCATCCATTTCCGTTATCACATTTAACCAATGTCCATTAACATGTTAAAACTATTAAAAATATAAAGGGTTGGTCTACTCTATGCCTTAAGAATATATGTTAAGGATGTATTAAATACATATTTTCGTTATAAATTTGTATTAAAAAATAAAAATCAACATTTCATTTATTAATTATCCAATAAAATTCACAGATTTAGTATTAACGTTAAAATTAATATCAACTTTTATATTTATGTGTATGTTTATAATAAAATATATTCTTAATATGTGCCATGAGAGCACATATTAAAAAAACCTAAATTTAACAAAATCCCATGAGCACAGATTAGAAAAACCTAAATTTAACAAAATCCACCATAATCCAATCAATTATGCTCCTTTCAGCATTTCTTTTAGAGAAAAAGCTAATTTCATAAAATATAAATGTTCGTCCAGTTTCAAAATTAATATAACATTTTTTTTATTTCTTTTGCTCGCTATGGATGATATTATTCATTTTATTTTTAGTAAACTGATGCAAATATATATATATATATATATA